ATCTCCCCATCTTCTCTCTCCCCTCCGCCTTTGCCCACAGTCCACTCCACCTGGCATGCCTTCCCCTGCATCTTCTTTACCAGACTAATTCTAGTGTCATTTCCCCAAATTTCATTAGTATACTGACGTTACCACTTGCTCAAACGTGTAGAAATCTCTCAAGTTCTTCAGACAAAACGTTTTCATCAAGTAACAGAAAATGATGGGTGCACAGGTAGCAAAGGACAATTCCAGATTGAGTGAATAGTAAAAAGAGTTGAAAGACAAATGATCTGAAGTTGCATATGTAATTTCTTTTCCTCCCCAAAATACGAGATACGTCAGTGAGTTTCTGGGCGTTGTGCTTACAGAATTGGGCCGGGATACAAGGGCAGCAAAAGTCTCACTACTATGGGTCTGTGTACTCATCCATGAAAGAAGTGTTTCATTTACAGTAAACAAAACCAATTTGAAACAAGAGCTATCATTTACAGCTCTTCCCCACACAGAAGTCAGTAGTTTAGCAACTAAATTATTTGAGATGAATTTCCTTTTCTAACAGCAGAAATTGCAAGTGCACTTCATTTATAAGAGAAAAGAGTCATATTTATTCTTCTAGGCAAGAAGGCAGATAAAGGTGAGTCACAACTTCCAATGCAGCCTCCACAGCCATAGTTAGCTGACAGAAACTTGCACGTAAGCTTCAGTCCTTCACTTCTAAAAGCCAGGCATCCATCTTTCTCCTCTCACTTCTGGAAAGAACAGAAAATTAAGCTGGAGTCATCTATTCTGAGATACACAACAGCAGGGACAGGGTTTTGGTTTCCTTCAACAATACACATTCCTCCCTGAGTTCCTGGACAGAAGCTCTGGGCTTTGTAGAGAACCACACAACAAGGATTCTACAACTAGGGGCCTGAGGGGCAGTGTTTCCCACAATGTCTTTGCTTCACCTACAACAGAACAGCTCTGTTAACTTCACCCAGCCATTATGAGAGGGGCAATGCACTAAAAGGCAAAATACCATGATCAGATTATCACTAACCATTTAAACTCAGTGCCCTCAGCCAAGACTTCCCCTAAGACATAACTAATGTAACAGGCTCATCTCTGTGCCCAACATGGCTGTGCCTTGCTGTATTGTGCTATTTATAATAGGGAGTGCACTGTACAGTAATTACATGCCTGGCCTTTGGCAGCCGGACTGGGATTCAGCTATCTTTCACTAGCTGAGTAACATTGGGCAAAGCACTCTAAGCTTTTAAAAACTCTTTATCAGACCCTACAAGTCCCCACTTGATCCAGCCCCTGCCTACCTCTCAGACCATCACTAGTACTGTCACTTTCCACCTCTTTAACTGTCTGGATATGTTGAGTTCAGGTCCCACCTCAGGGCCTTTGCATTTGCTGTCCTCTCTTCCTGAGTGTCACCTGGCTGGCTACTTTTCATTAATCAGGTCTCAGTTCAAATGTCAAAAAGTCACCTCCAGGATCTCATAAACATAATGTTGATTATGTGAGTATGCACTCATATAATCCATTGTATAATTCCATTTACATAAAGTACAAAAAGGAACTAAACCAGTGTATGGTGGCGTAATTCAGGGGACTGGCTACTCTTTTCTGGGTGGGAGTAGTGACGGGAAGGAGCACCACGGGGCCCTCTGGGTTGCTGCTAAATGATTAATTTCTTGATATGGATCTGATCTCCTGGGCATGCCCAGTTTGTGCAAACTCATCAAGCTGTTCACTTATAATATGTATATTTTTATTACACGTGTTACAATGCAATGTCGAATTGGTTTTCCTGGATCACCTAATCTATGACCCACCATCTTGGCTAAGCTATTCATTCTCCAGCCCATGACCTTGTTTTATTTTCTTCATAGCATTTGTCACTGGCTGAAATCATTTTCATTATTGTTTATGTATGTACAGTCTAGCCCTTCCCCACCCCCATTAAAATATAGTATCATGTGGCCAAGATCTCTGCCTGCCTTGCTTACTATCCCCAAATATCAGTACCTATAGAGTCTTGTTCTAGGTATAAGCTGAATAGAGAAATATATGTAAAATAAGAAATGGCAAAAGGGTGGCCCTTTAAGGATATAACATCAATTGAAAGTCAAAACAGAGAAGCCAACAGCAGAAGAAATAAAAAATGTCAATGACATTTAGCATCAGGAGTATGTGTCAAATGTTAAATTTAACAACGAGGAGGGGGTACATAAAGTGTCATTCTTTGGCACCTCTGTGAGAGTGGTTAAAGTTACTTCTCACAGCAGAAACTGGGTCATTTATCTCTGTACACACAAGAATTTTGCATAAGGCCTGGTACAAAGAAGGTCTGAGCCAAGAAGAGTAGCAAGAGATTTCTGAGACGCTTGGTGAGGATTCTTAAGTTTCCAAGAAAAAGAGGGTCATATTCAACTGTAATGTCTGCCATGGGCAAGGGAGTAGGTAGGCACAACATACATGCAGAGGTAGGTGGAGCAGATACAAAGAAGCATTCAAGAATATGAAAAGGGTTCCTTACAAATCACAAACAATACTCACCTACTTTTATTGCCAATTCTAAGATGTTTATAAAGAAAAAATTAAAATGTGTCAGTAGTGTTGGTGACTTGGATGTTACATAGTAACTTTATGCTATGCAGAGTAACTTACATGCTGATATAACTTACATTCATGAGGAAATTTACACCACAGCCTGGTATAATGGAAACTGAAAAGTAAACCTTTAATCTGTAATCAGTTCTGCCACAAACTCTCTTTATAACCTTGAACAAGTCCTTGAACTTTAGTGCTCAATTTTTCTACCTGTGAAATAAGCTAGTTGGATCTGATGCTTGCTAACGCCCATTTCCAGTTCTTGAACACTGTGTACTATTCCTGACTTAAAAAAAAAAACAAACTCATTTCCTAAGCTTATGTTCACAGGACAATACGCCATCCACAAGTATGTAAATCAAAGTTACTAGATGCAGTGAGGTAGGAGATCCTTTTACCCAGTCTTCTTGCCAAACCAAGGGTATCGCCCACTCAGATTCTCTACAGTGTTGTGTTCAGACTCCCATTTCTTGGTAAGGCAAGAAGCCCTATCATACTTCAGCTAAACAGTTGGATTTCTCGGCACAATTATTTCCTTTGCTTGAGTTTTCACTGCCTTAGGCACCATGTTTCCCATCAATTCAAGTCTACTCTCATAGTTAGCACCACAGTTCCTGTTTTTTTCTAACACTTAAATAATGAATAGAATTTGATCACCTGGAGGTATTCTCCTTACTCTATTACAACAGTTATTAGTTATTTTAATTAGACAAAACCACCATTCCTTTTGCTATCCCACCATACTGTCAAGTGCCTATTAAAGATATTACAGTAATGAGTTATTAGCACCTTTTAAATTTACATTAACAAAAACAGACAAATGAAAAGTCAGGAAATGAAAGAAGAAAAAAAAAAAACCTTTCAGATGTCATAATTAACCAAAGCTTAGAGTAACTCAAAAAATCATTAGTAGCTATCTTTCAATTTTTAAAAAATATATACTATGCATATCCTAGTTAAAACTGCAGGAGTAAAAAAAAAAACTGCAGGAGTGATCATTTGTCTCTCATCAATTAAAGATGGGAAAACGGACAAGGACGATGCTCTGCTGTGGATGAGCCCCACACCATCCTTTCTTTAAAAGAGGAGCGATATTACTAATGGAGAATAACTTGTCCATGAGTCATCACCAACTCCTAACTCCCCAAAGACCTTTTGACTACTGTGACTCTTGCCACCTGCAGAACGTATTGATCAAATCTACAGGAAGCCAAGTTCTAATAGCTATTCAGCATCCACCACTGGCCCTCCTAGGTTTTTATTCTCTTGAAACAAGGAGAAAGAGGACAGGGCCACTGCTCTGATGTGTTTTAGTGCTGGGACTGACTGCTCACTGAATTGAGGGAGAGCGTTTCCCATCTTTCTCCTTGACCCCCTCATTTCACCAACTCAAGCACCACTACCCACCCCCCCAAGTCTGCAAAAGCAGGCAGCCTGCAGAGAGCTCACTCCAGGAGGTGAGTTACTAAACCAGCAAGGCTGGGTTGGGTTTGTAGGCACCTTCATCATGTGGCCTAACAAACAGGCTCAAGAGAGAGACGGTTCAGAAGCAGCACTGGCAAAGCAGGTAACTGAGGACACACAAATGTTGCCTGCCATTTTAGTAAACAAGAATGTTGCTTGCCATCAAGTCAGCAGTCACTGCAGCCGCCGGAGACAGTGCACCCTGAGGGGAATTCAGGATGCAGAAAAACAGGATACAGGCCCTAGAGAGTGAAGATGCATATCAAAGGAATAACTTCAATAAGCCCAGACTCTAACACCTTCCCAAATTGAGCAAAGCATTAAAATCACTACCTTGACATATCTGATTTTTGTGACTAGCCCTAATCTTTTGATGTTCCACTACAAGTTTTTTTTTTGTTTTATTTTCAGCCCAAACTCCCATATATCCTGGCTCCTCCCTTACCTCTTTGGAACAGTTCCTCAGAGCTATCCAGAAACTTCCCCAGGATACAACCCTCAATAATGCCTCCAATAAAATATATTTCCCAACTTTCAGGCTGTGCATTTTTTTTCTGTCGACATAATAACACCTCAGGACTCCAAAACCCAGTCCCAGGGACTTTTCCTTAACATGCCTGCAGCGCCTGGTACAGGGCCAGGCGCCCTCCGCAGCGCTAGGGTAACCCACGTCAGCGACAACTGAGAGCTGGGTGGCTCTCACTCCGGGCTGTCATTACCCACTCCGGACTGTCATTACCCGCTCCGCCTGGGACCCCCGACACCTGAAGCGAGGTGGGGGTGGGGGGATGCTGGGGTCTCTCGTGCGCCCCCGGGCGCAGCACCGCGCGTCCCCTCCACAGGTGCGGCGCCCTAGCGGCCGCGCACCGGGGCCAGGAAGAGGTGGACAGACAAGGACAGGAGGGCATCATTGGCTGCTCCAGGCTCCCACCAAGAGGCCCGCTCACCTGGGACCTGGCCGCCAGGAGCGGGGACCGGAGCGCCAGGTCTCTCAGTAGTTTCCAGGCCTGCGCCACCACAGGGGCCGCCATCTTAACCAGAAAAGTTGCGCGGAGAGCCAGGCGGGCCGCGGCGAACCAGGCGGGGCGCGGCGAAGGCGGGAAGGGGAGGGGAGGGGAGGGGGCGGGGCCCGGCCGCCCCTCCCGCACCGCCCCCTCCGCCCGGGCCCGCCTGCTGTCCCCGGGACGTGGCAGCGCCTCTGAGGGGCCACCTTCTATACCCCTGCGTCCCCCACCGCGACTCGCACCTCGGCCCCAAGTTCACTTTCAGCCTTCAGAGGCCCCGTGGCCTCCTCACCGTGCTACCCCGGCTCACCATGTGAGCAAAAACACATCCCGAGCCCTACGGTAGTGGGGCTTAAACTACGCTGGGGCGACAGGCCAGTGCACGTTAGCCGGTGCCGTGAGTGCTCTGAGGACCGGCCCACGGAGCTGACGCCAAGTAAGGGAGGCCTCTGGTCTGGTCCTTGGGCCCCAGAGGCTCGCCTAGGGAAGCGATATTTGAGCTGAGCCTTGAGGGAGTACGGGAGAAGCAAGTGGGTCTGACGAGGTCGGTGGATCCCCTCTGCACCTGAGTAAGAATTTTTTATCTTTTACCGAAGGTTAAGGCAAATCAATTGAAGCACTTTAAGCCAGTAATCACCAGAACAAGAGCAAGCGTTTATTCGGAGTTTACGTGACTCTAAGCCCTGTATATGTAATAAAATTACTATAGCAAATAAGCTTAATATGTGCCAGGCACGTTACAAATTATGAACTAATTTAGTCTTTATAGCAACCTTTCCAGTAGGTACCAATGTATAAATCCCCGTTTTGCAGAAGAGAAAACTGTGGCACAGAGAGGTTACCTAACTTATTGAAGGTCAGAGATCTGATACGGATTAAAACTGGTTCAAACCCACGCTCTCTTCTCCCCACCCTATTAAGTACCATTTTAGAATTTTTTTTAACCTTACTCTGTTCTTGAGCCTATGATCATGAGAAAATGTACAATGTAACAGAACTAGGAAACTATTTCTGCTTTACTTCCCTTTTTACTTTTTCTCTTTTTAATTTTTTTTAATTTTTATTCTGACAAAACAAATCTACAGAAAAGCTGCAAGAACATTACCCCCAACTCCGAAGTGTCCTTTACCCAGATTTACCACTTATTTATATTTTGCCTCATTCCCCATTTTACATAGATATAGATACATAGCTTTATAGCCCATTCTTAATCACAAGTTTACTGGCTAGATTTAGCATCCATTGTTGATTATTTCTTGAATCAGTTATTACTGTAATGGTTGCAAAATCATGATTGTCTAATTCCATTCCTTTCTACATTTTTTAGTTTACATTCTACTCTGAGAAGAGCTTTACCATCTCCCACGTTTATTTATCCTTGTATTCACTTGTATCAATATGGACTCATGCGTCCCTTTTTATTCAGTGCCAAGCCTATGCTCATTCCTTTTACATGTACTCAGCTGCCTCTGAATATGGGTCATTTAAGCCTCACAGGAACCCTGTAAGGGGTGATGATGTTATTCCCATTTTACCAGAGGGGGAACTGTACTACAGAAACACTGTGTAACTTGCCCAGGGTCACAGCCTGGGACCAGACCCCAAAGCTGAAATCTGACCACACCCCAAAGCTGAAATCTGACCACACCCTTCTCTTGACGGGAGGGGATCTGAGTTCCCACCTCATCTATCATTACTTGTACTGGGTCTGCCATCTAGCCAGGATGGAGCAAAGATTCATTAATGTTTACAGACTGAATGTTTAAGCGTGGTGAGAGCTTTGAACATGTTGTCAGAAGGAAGCAGACCTCCTGTAGAATTAATCAAAGGTGGTTTATTCAGACAGTACTATGGCAAGGGAGTTGGCTACTATCACTTTCCTTCCAGCAGAGACCTGAAAGGGTTTGAAAAGAAGAGTGCATTTCGTAAAGAGAAAGGAGAGCCTCCTTAGACAGTCTTTGATGAGTGTTCTGTTAGGATGGGATTTTTTTCTATTAGGGCAGGATTTTTGGAAGTGGAGTGGGCAGAGTCTTTCTGATTACCATTCATGTACATGTGGCAACCTTTGATTGGTTCATTATCTACTAGTGAATTTCTGGGCTGGGTAGCATCATATGAGTTTTCCTGTTTCAATTGGAAGACAGCCTATTCCTCAGCTTTGGGGCCCAAGTCCTGCATCAGCAATTCCTCAGTGTCTTCATCCACATTCTCTAATTCTGCCATCTCTGCAGCCAAGGGGTTGGGGGAGATGGAGGAGAAGGACCTTTGTATGGTATCTCCAGTGCTTAGCACTGGACCAGGATTAGAGAAAGTGTGAAAGAAACACATGTAGGATGACTCACACTTATTGAGTTCCTCCTAAGACTTCTCGCTATTTTCTACCCTTTTTTCCCAAATAGGAAGCTCTTTGAGGTCAAGGATCCACCAAAGAGTTCTGCACTGTGCTTTGCTGAGATAAGCACTGGGTTTTCAGTGAAACTGGATTGGATTCAAATCTCACCTCTGCCTTCTGTGAATCTGTGACCTGAGGAACTACCTAGGTCATACAGTGATAGTAAGTATTCAGTGAGATGTTGTATGTAAAGACCTTGCACATAGCAAGGCCTCAGTAAATGTTGTGTTTCTTCCTCTGATATATTCTTAATAAATATTTGATATCTAATGTGAAACACCAGAGCCAATCTGAGGTATGGGTCATAAGGCCCCTGACACTTTGTAACTTATCTTGATAGCTCTGGCGAACAGTAGAGACGTGTATGTGCCAGATGAAAGTATTAAAAGAGTGTAAAGTTGTTGTCTCCAGGAAGAGGGTGGAGGATAGGGGTCAGGGAACCTTTACATTTTTAGAACTTCGCAAATACTGATTCCTGGGCTCCACTCTAGACCTACTGAATCAGAATCGCTTAGGATGGAGTCTGACATCTGCATTTTAAATAATCTTCTCAAGGAGTTATTTAGTTTGAGAACTAAAAAAAATTTTAAAAAGCAGACAAACCAAACCATAGCGGTAAACTCTCAAGAGGTTTCCCAGTGAATCAAGAGGCAAGTTACTCTGCCTTCTTCCACTGGGTTCCTAAATGTAGAATGAAAATCCTGTGATTCGTAGATGGAGGTGATGACTAAATGCTGCTCTCAGAGAGTCTTGACACATGGGTATAAGACCTGTCTTCTACCAGGGGTCTAGGTCAGCCCCGACATGTAGAAGCATTGGCTAAGGGTGAATAAACAGTGATTCTATGCTTTTTCTTTATCAGTATTGCAATTGTGAACTGCTTGAGTAGTAACTGTGGCCATAGGCAATACCACTACCAAAGCATTCTGTACTGTCTGGGATCAGATTGAAGCACAGAGGTAGATATCAGACAAACTGAGTTCAGGTCTTGACTCTGTGATTTAATAACTCTGAGCTTGAGCCAGTTATTTCGCAGCCTCAATCCTTTATCTGTGAAAGGGGGATTATAATAGTATGTATTTTGCCAGTGTGTTACTGAGTCCAAGCTCGTACTACTTGCTGCACAACAGGCCAATAAATCGAGAGACAAGTTGCTGGAGCAAGGAATAGTGACTTTATTCAGAAAACCAGCAAACTGAGAAGATGGTGGACTCGTGCCCCAAAGAACCCATCTTGCCTGAGTTAGAATTCAGGCTTTTTTTTATACTAAAAGGGGAGGGAGTAAAGTCAAACATTTCCTGGTTCCTGTCAGCCTCCGGAGAGGATGTGTTAATTTCTTCCTCCCTGCAGTCATTCAGGGGTGGGCCTGATCAAGATGTTCCCTGTGAGCTACACAAAGGTATTTTAGCTTAATGCTCATTACCTGCGAGGCAGGGTTCCCAGAGATGGGCCATTATGTATAATTTAAGCTTATAGGCAACATCCGTTTAGTGATTAACTTGTAATAGAATGCAAAGGGTTCTTCCCCATTACAAGTGCATTGTCAAGCACTGGAGATCCCAGTGGCTGTTAGCCACTAGGCTTTCTCTGCTTGACTAAGAAATCCTTTTTCATGTTTGTTTCTTTACCATTTACATCAGTGAGCCTGTTTCCCTGTTAGTAAAATGAAGGCCAAGTATGACAGCATCTTATTTGAACTAGTAGTAAACAATATAGCACTTCTCATAAACTTTGCATAAACTGGAAATATTAAGTTCCAAAACTCCTTCATCAAACTTTGGATTTAGAACAACCTGCCTACACTATTTCTTATTGAGTTAATTGTTCCAGGAAAGAAAATAAAAACATCAATAGACCCACACACCTTCTCTTTCATTTTAGCAGTGCCTGTTAACAGTGAAGTAATGTGCCCATTTTCATATCCACACTGATTACTCCCTGGGCCCAGATTTGCCAAAGAGGCATGTCAGGAAACCTAGCACAGGGATCATGCATCTAGCAGTTCCAGTGGTTGTTTATCATTACCTTTTCATTTAAGCATAAAAACCATTTGACAAATACAGACTCATTGTAACCAGTAGAAATGAATAGAATTTTTTACAAAACAATCCTAATTTTCATGGATAACATCTTTGAATTCATGCCACTCCCTGTCAGGAATGAAAATCACTATTAAGATGATGAAACAAAGGGCATTTGTGGATTTTGTCTGGTTATTTCTTCTTTAATGGATAACAGATTTCTTGAATTTACAGGCAAAGAAACTTTGGGCTTTCATTATGTACACTGATAATACCTCTGTTGCTGTTTGTGACAGCCATTTTAACCAATGCTTCAACTGTGTTATTTGCCAATGGCACAGAAAGAAGTTCCATTGTGCTCCAGTTATTTTTTCCCTCTTCAATAATGCATTAAAATGATTAATTCTGATGACATTTTAAAGCAGCTTATTTAAATTATAAGGTGCACAGAAGAAAAGGGATCTGAAACTAAAAGTGTCTCCTCTGACAAAACCACAATGAGCTCAAGAGAAATTCTCACTATATCCTGGAGAGGATCTGGGGGAGGGAAGGTAGAGCCATAGTAACAGGTCAAAGTCAAGATGAAAAAGAAGTAAGAGTAAGGAACATCAGAAACCAGGAGAAGGAGCATTCAGGGACAAGGTCAGCTGGAAGACTATAAGTGGAGAACGAGAGTTAAGGATAGAAACAAAGGCGATGACATTCTATTGGTCGGGAAATTTAGAAATGGATAAAGAAGATGGTAAAAGTGGAGTGAAGAACATTTACACAAAGGACAGTGGAGAAGCATGGACTGAAAGAGAAAAATGGTACCAGATTGTGGGAAAGGAATTCCCTTCAGAAAGAAACCTGTTTTCCCACTGCAATCGAAAGCCGTGGAATTTAGCACTTTCAATATTATTAAGACATCCTTCATTTAAATACCAAAATAGGACTTCCCTGGTGGCACAGTGGTTAAGAATCCTCCTGCCAATGCAGGGGACACAGGTTCGACCCCCGGTCTGGGAAGATCCCACATGCTGTGGAGCAAGTAAGCCCATGCGCCACAACTACCGAGCCTGTGCTCTAGAGCCCATGAGCCACAACTACTGAGCCCATGTGCCACAACTACTGAAGCCTGGACGCCTAGAGCCCATGCTCCGCAACAAGAGAAGCCACTGCAATGAGAAGCCCACGCACCACAACAAAGAGTAGCCCCCGCTCACTGAAACTAGAGAAAACCTGTGCACAGCAACGAAGACCCAAAGCAGCCAAAAAATAAATAAATTAATTAATTAAATACCAAAATAAAAATTAAAGGCATTCCATTTCAAATGACCTGCTTCATTAGGAAGTAAGCAGTCACAGCAATGGTTTTTAATAGAATTCCTTTTTTTTTAAATTTATTTTATTTATTTATTTTTGGCTGTGTTGGGTCTTCCTTGCTGCGCATCTACTCTTTGTTGCGGCGTGCGGGCTTCTCATTGCAGTGGCTTCTCTTGTTTGTGGAGCACGGGCTCTGGGCACACGGGCTTCAGTAGATGTGGCTCACAGGCTCAGTAGTTGTGGCTCGTGGGCTCTAGAGCGCAGGCTCAGCAGTTGTGGCGCACGGGCTTAGTTGCTTCACGGCATGTGGGATCCTCCCGGACCAGGGCTCGAACCCGTGTCCCCTGCATTGGCTGGCGGATTCTTAACCACTGCACCAGCAGGGAAGCCCCAGTAGAATTCCTTTAAGAGGTTTCTGTTTTGTTTTAATGTCTTTGGGGCCGTATTCTCCAAAGGTTCTGATTCAGTCTGTCTTGGGACCCAGAGATCTGCATTTTTATAAGTACCTCTTCCACCCCACCATCTTTATTGTTGGTGATCCATTGTCTGTGACTGGAGAAGCACTGACCCAGAAGGTGGGACTTTGAGAAAGCTAGAGGAAAATGACAGAAATCATCCAATTCCTCTCTTTCTCTCTCATTTTCTTTTCCATTTCTTACCCCACTTGTAGTATGTTTCTTAACCTTTCCCTACCCCTCCAAAATCTTAGTACATGAGAAGAAGGAGTATGGAATGAGGCTCCAAAGGAAGGTTTCATGCTGTTCCCTCTGATGGAAACAACTCTTCCCTGTTGTTCACTGGACTCGGGCTCTCTCTTCCCTAGAGAGGGTTTCAGTCACCACCCTCTTCAGGAAGCTTCTCTGAAGACAAGGCTGGGGATCATCTCAGTGGTTATCATTAGGCAATTACCCCATTAGTTTCTTGTCTGCTTCTTTCTTTAAGATTTAAAAATCTGCAGTGACAGGGACTGTGCCTTCTTTGCTCTTATGACCCTGCACCCAGTACAGTGCCTGGAAGACAGGCGGTATTCAACTGACATTGACTAAACAGATAACTAAGTGAAGATGAAACCAATGCAAAAATCACCCTAATAAGAAAATTCAAAGATTCAATAATGTCTAGAAATCTGCCAGTACCTCCTAACAAGAATGGAAGTTGAGTCCCATGAAGGGAAATAACCTGCCCAGGATCACACACTACACTAGTGGTTTTGTTCACTGTTCCTCAGTTCTTAGATGCCTTCAAGATCGATCTCTCCCTTACCTCTCTCTCGTTCCCCTACATTTATTGAACATGTATGTGCTTTCTCCAAGCTTTACAGAAATTATCTTACTTAATCCCCACCACAGCTGTATTTTACAGATGTGCAAACTGAGTCTCACAGCAGAGAGTAAGTTGCCTGAAGTAATGACTAGGAAGAGGCCAATCTCAATCAATCTGGGATTGAATCTACACCAGCACTATCTAATGGATCTTTTTGCAATGATGGAAAAGTTCCATAACTGTGCTGTCTGATACCATAGCCTTCAGCCATGTATGGCTACTGAGCACTTGCAATGTGGCTGGTGAAACTAAGAAAATAATTTTTTTTTTTTTTTTCCGTTACGCAGGGCTCTCACTATTGTGGCCTCTCCCGTTGCGGAGCACAGGCTCCGGACGCGCAGGCTCAGCGGCCATGGCTCACGGGCCTAGCCGCTCCGCGGCATGTGGGATCTTCCTGGACCAGGGCACGAACCCGTGTCCCCTGCATCGGCAGGCGGACTCTCAACCACTGCGCCACCAGAGAAGCCCCTAAATTTTAAATTTTAATTAATTTATATTTAATTTTGAATAGCT